GACAGCTCAGAGCCGGGAGCCTGCTTTGGATTCTGTGTCTCCCTGTCTCTGCCTCTTCCCCACTCAAACGTTGTGTCTCTTTCTCTCAAAAAATGAATAAAAATCAAAAAAAGTGGTTTTTTTTAATTTAAATTCAACCCTAACAAAATTCTTCATACTCTTTAATACTGATTTCTCAATGAGCGGCCCACCTGAAGTTTGAAGAATTATTCTAACTATAAGAAATTCTCATACTCTGTGACAAACTTATGAATGGATCTTTGGAGTTTGTCATAACAGGCTTTTACATATTTACTCAATAGCATTCTGATTCTATGTGTGACCAAAAAAACTGAACACATGCTGGACAAACTTTTAAGAATGCTTCCTTTAATGACATCTCCTGATTCCAATTGTATGATGCTCTGTGCAGTTATATCCAGATACACCAAACAAGAAAAAAACGAAATACACCCACATTTTCAATTCTGTTAAGCACCCCTTCCCTCCCTCCTTGTCTCATTCATCCACTCATTCATTTATTCAGCAGATACCTCTCAGTGTGGCTTGCAACACACTAATCTCCCAGGAGCCCTTTTGATAAATAAGACCCCTTTCTCTTGGAGCTTAGTCTCCAGTTAGTTTTGAGCATACACGAAAATTTCAGAACTTATTTCCTTTAATTCTAATCTATAATTTTGTTTTCTTATAAAATATTTCAAACACTCAGCAATATGCCAAAAATAATATGACAGATACCCAAGTACTATCACAGAGGCTTAACAGACATTAACATTTTGCCATGTTGGCTTCAAATCTCTCCAGCTGCAACCATTAACCTTAAGTTGGTGTGTTATGTTGTGTATATTATGCACATTTTGTTGTTACATATCTATAGATCCATAAATAATGTATTTTATGTGTTTTTGTGTTTTACATAAATGATTTCACATGGTATATACCCTTTTTGCAGTTGGGGTCTGGGGAGGGTGTTTTTTATTCAACATTGTTTTTTGTTGATTCTCCATGTTGATGCATGCAGGTGTAGTTCCTTGAAGCACTGGGTAATACTCCCTTTTGTGAATAAGCCACAGTGTATTTCTCCATTCCTTTGCTGATGCATACTCAACTTAGGTCGTTTCCAAGCTTTTGATGTTATGAACTAGTAGTTCACTGAGCATGATTATGTATGTTTTTTTGTGAACATGCTTGAGTCGTTCTGTCCAATGTATACCTAGTAGAAGACTTGATGGATCATAAGGTGTGCATATCTTCAATTTTACTCCAGTAAAGTGTGGCCCAAGATGGCAGAGTCATTCATAAATCTGCTTTAAGGAAGGTGGGGGTTTAAGTCCTATTGCTAGGCTATCAAATTCTTAGCTTATCTGTTCTTTGATTTTATTGTACAGTATTTAAATTCTATTTTATCTAAGCAGTGATAGATAATAAATGTTTTTAATTTTTAAGTAGAATTTTATTATGTCATCTATTATGGAGGTTCAGGCATAAATGAATACACTAGCAAATTATACAGGCTTTTTAAATGACAAAGAACATATTTTCTGACATGTTGTTGGTCCTCAAATCATTTATCTTTTTTAAAAAAACTTTATTTATTTTGAGAGAGAGAGAGAGAGACAGAGTGCACAAGTGGGGAAGGGGGGATTCTCTTCCTCCCCCCTTCCCCATTTGTGCACTCTGTCTCTCTCTCAAAATAAATCGTGACCAGACGTTTAACTGACTGAGCCATCCACGTGCCTCCAAATCATTTACCTTTGAAACACACTCTAATATTAAGTGCTTAATTTTGAGTAACTACTTTAGTGACTTGAGAAAGTATGATATTTTAATTATTCTGTTGTTAAAACTACAAATTTCACTTAACTCTATAATCTATGTTAAGAGTGTTAACAACATGTTTTGAAAAGATTTTACATACAGATTTAAAATCTAGTGATGAGTATAAGCTTCTCTTGCCCTTGAAATATTTTACAACTAAGCAAATGAAATATCACAAATATGCAACAAGCTTTGAGCAGATCTGAGCTTTGCAAATGCTAGAGCTTTGTTTCATAGGTTTTAGTTCTTCAAAGTATTAAGATGTTGTATTTTCTCATTCTTTTTAATGTGTTTACTTCAAGTGATTTAAGAAGGAGACTGAATTTTAGCTGCAGCAGATGTATCATGCAGGGAGTACCCTGGTTTAAATTCTGACGTGCTTTCACTTCTGCTCGCTTCCCCTTGAAAGCGTCTAGAAAGAAGCTGGCACATTATTTTGCGGATGTTACTGGACATCAGGAAATACATGACTGGGTCTAAGCAACTATTGAAAGACGAGAAGACCAGCATGATCTCGTTGGTTTTGTGAACGATTTCCTTCCAATAGCAAGGTGGATTGTTTAGCTGTGAAAAAATATAGACAAATCGGAAGGCATGATACGGAACAAAACATATAGTAAAAATGATGAGTACAATAAAGGAATTCCGAGCTGTGGTGGCATATTTACCAGAGTTGGGAAATTTGGACCTCCTTTTAGAAATCCTCAGTAGATTCTTGCCGATCTTAATATATGAAAGGATTATTAGTAAGAAAATTAGCCAGAACATTACCACAAGAATGAGGTTAAAAATTGCTTCTCCCTTGGCATTCGTCCTCTCTCTATAATGGAAGCACATTGTGGAATTATTGGAATCATGGCCTTCTTTCTTAGGGGCTAATATAATCATAGCTAGAAATCCAGCAAGAGCAACTGTCCATACTATACAGCAAACATAAATACTTTGTTTGGTTGTTACTGCCTTCCGTTGTTGTATAGACCGATTGATTTTTATGTAGCGATCCAAACTGATGAATCCAAGCAAAATAATGCTAATGTACATGTTCATATAAAATAGTGTTCCCACAGCCCTGCAAAGGATCATATTGAGTGTCCACTTGTTCTGGTTAATGTGATACATTATGCGGAAAGGCAGGCAGAAGATCAGTAAGAGATCTGCAATGGCTACATTCAGTAGGTAAATCTGAATGGAGTTTCTCTTGCGGTGGATACCCAGAAATACATAGAGGGCGATTATGTTTCCAACCAGTCCCACGATGAAAATAACAGAGAAGGATACTGTTAACACACTAGAGAGCAGTTTCTCATCCATGACACAGTCAGTATCTGATGTTCCTGACATGGTGTGTGGCGTTGGGATGCTGTGATTAGCTGTAAAGTTCACTCCCTGAGAGGACCAAGGCCAGCTGTAGGCCGAAGTGGTTGGCATTGTTACGGCGTGACTTCTCATTGTCTGGTGTAGGGATCAAAAAGTGAAGGTGCTAAATGACGTGTTCCTTGTGTGTAGCTTTGGTATCTTCAGAATTTTCCTACAAGGGAAAGCAGCATTGAGTTATTTGCCATTTTAATAAGTTTCTTTAAGCACAAATAATAAGCGATATATTTTCAGATGGGAGAAACTTTGAGTATCTGCACTATGTATGTAGCAGCAGCATGGTATCACAGCTCAAGCAGTAAGTGTACTAGAGTCTTAGGGAATGTCCTGCTCTAACCTTTCCTATGGCTGTGGTATATGTTCAAGGTTTGTTTTATTTAACTTGCCATATGGAGTTTGTTATGGGAATAGAGACAGACGTATGGAGAAATGACAGCTCATATTGTTCAAAGATAAGGGTCCATTTCCCGAAAGGTAGTTACAGCCATGAGTGAGCTGGGCCCACTGCTGACCCCTGCCCAGCTCCCTGCCTTAACTCCTTCCCTTGTGTCTGGTATCCGTTCATTTGGGCAAGGATTGCCACACAGCATATGACATAAACTGTGGCAGTCTTCCATTCCGGGGGGGGAATAGAAGAAAGAGTCCTAAATTTCTTCCTTTTCAAGCTAAGACCAAGTTGGGCGTATTAAAATCATTTGCCTGCGAGCTATGCAGACCCAAGAGAGCAGAACACCTGCCCTCTCAGACAGATTCTTGTAACAAGGTAGCCAAACAAAACCAAGCCGGGTGGCAAAGGCTGCCAGTTAGTTGAGACAGACGGTCTCCTGACCCGGAAGCATAGAGTGATAGTACAGATGGGAAGCACGATGTGCATTCCAAGATTCTGAAACAACTAACTGCAGCTTACTATGCCCCAGGTTAGGTCATTTGCAACTGTCGCTCGAACCTTATAAGAGTGTGTGTGAATTCCACTTGTTTGCCGCAGCAGAGAATGTTAGCAGCGCCACCTATTCTTGGCTCCTTCCTGGGCATTGAGTGCAATGAAGCCCTCAGTCTGAGGGGCCATCATAAGGAGCTAGAAGACATGAAGAGAGGGTCCCAGGAGGTCTCAGAGTGACTGCCCCATTTCTCTACAGCAGCATCTTAGCAGGTGTAACACAAAGACATTCCGAGCAAGGTTACCAAAATCAGACCTGACTAACTCTGTGACCTTGGTCACACCAATTCATCTTTTCTAAGCTTCAGGTTTCTCATCTGTAGAAATGCATAATGTGTATGAAGAACTTAACCCCGGGCACATAAAAGTACTCAATGAAAATTAGTTTTAAAAAAAACAAAACACCTGGGTGCCTGAGTGTCTCGCTCAGTCAGTTGAATATCCAACTTTGGCTCAGGTCACGAACTGAGTTTGTGAGTTCAAGCCCTGTGTCAGGCTCTGTGCTGACAGCTAGGAGCCTGGAGCCTGCTTCGGATTCTGTGT